CTAAACGTAACTTTGAGCTAAATATTAACTTCTAATCCTAACATTGGGTCTAGTGCTATCTCAATCCTAGATTTAACCTATATCCAAGTGGTGGCCCACCTGCATTAGGCGAATTTATATTCTCGTGAGTTGCACATTTGTATACTATTCAACTCGCTACAGGACTTCAGCGGCTTGGTGTGGCGTAAGACGCCAAACCCTCTTGGGCTGTATAGCCTCAGATATACGAATCAAAAGTCTGATGAGATAAGCTAAAAGACAGGCCCGCGAATAGAGACTCAAACGACTGAATCTCCTTTGTTTCAACCACACTTTTGGAACGTGTCATGTGGGCTTCAACAATGCTCTCAGAGGCAAAAAGTTTACTTTATTCTGCCCCATTTTAGGACCATTTTAGGAGGAAGAAAGGTCGCACTTCGTTTTGTTAGTGAGGTAGTTTTAATTAATTTGCAACAAAACTGGTTGCCTTGTACAGGAGCGGTTATGTCGGCCTACAAAAAATAAACCAGTTTAAGCATTTAAGTAAAAAAACAGTTGGACCAATTTAATTGGCGAGAGGCTATAGGTAGAAGAAAAACCCACAGTCAGGGTGCCGCCATGAAGCTACCGACTCCTCGATTGAGCACTGGCTTGTCCACTGACTGATTAACGCAAGTCACTTCCACCTGTATGCGTGCTGTCTCAGTTTAATTCTCCCAATTATTAAAAATAATAAAATAGATAAATTATCTGAAACAATATAATATATAATACCATTGGTGACAAATAATGGATGCACATTTGTAAACCATACCGTGGCTTCGAGTACCTTTTTTTGTCCGGTGAATTGCAATCCCATAGGAAGTCTTTGAAAGTATTAGGCAACATAATTTGTTCAGTCGCATGAAAAATGACGGTCGCTGCAGGGAACTTAGGGATAACAGAGTGGGCGAAACTGTCGGACTGTTCTTAGTGTTTTATAAGTCATACAGGGTTCCACATCAAAACATGGATACTTGAAACGGTGACATGTTTCAACTTTTAATTTGTACCTGAAAAGTTCCGTCGCTTTTAATGTCGGCCCGTCATGATGACGCTTTTGTGACGTAAAACCCCATGCGTCACCTTTGCAAAAACCAGAGCTGGTAGGCATTTCCTTTCGCCACACTCTCGTAAAACGATAAGTTATTTTTCCGTAGTTAACATCCATTAGCATCCTGACCAAAATCTAAAAAATCGTAAAACTCGAAATTGTTGATGTGACGCTACCCAACGCAAGTGTCTGGGGTTTTTCGAGGCAGGACGTTGCGACGGAGTCAAGCGCAAAGCAAAATGCATTTTAAGAAAAATACAATTTAGAAAAGGCAGGACTTACCGACGCTGATGAGGACGATTAGCTCTCAGCCTCATGCCCATACCTGCTCATTTATATTACATAGCAACTGATTATTATTTGAAAAGCCGCCGTAAAGCTATCGGACTTTCACAACTTCTGTCTTTTTAACATATGCTCTAAATATACTATTTAAAATATGCAAACGCTACCACATGGGAGGAATATATCCGAGCTCGTCGAAAGACAGCTAAAAAAACACCAAATACAGATTGCGCACAAGCCAGCAAGTACATTGCGCACCCAACTCGTACACCCTAAGGACAGGGTTACCTATTTTGACCGAAAGGAAGTTGTCTACAAAATTCCGTGTTCCAGTTGTGATGTAGTATATTGTGGCCAAACCAGGAAAGCTCTATCCACCCGCATCCATGAACACCAGTTAGCGGTGAGGAGACAAGATCGCCATTCACAGGTTGCCATGCACACACTGGACACAGAACACAAATTTTCATGGGAGCAAACCCAAATCGTTGGAACCTGCCCATCTAAGAAGGGTCGCGAATTCCTGGAGGCAATGCACTCAGATGTGGCATGCATTAACAGGCATATCGATCTCGATGTGAATTATAAATCACTGAAAATCAGATGGAAGCGAAAGCAGCCACCGCCTACCACATGATCAAATACGGACGAAAACTATTCCCCGGCCCGCATAGTCACATACAAGTGACAATTATTCCCATTGCCAGCATAACCAAATGCGGATGATTATTACCTACTCACACTCTTACAAACTATATAATCCTGTGTTAGTCGTCGGTTAAAGTTAACTTTTTTTGTACATATCTCACACATCTGAAGACGAGCAGGGGAACCAGTTTCGAAAATTCACTAATAAACATTTCTCTTTCCCAAAGGACTTTATGGCTCATTAATAATATGCTTTATATACCCATCCACATAGTTTACCCTTCCCCTGGAGGGAAACGGGTTCATTGAGAAGGATGAATAAATGTTCGTGTAAGAATGGCTTTTGATAAACACACCGACGCCAACAATGAGTTCAAAGTGCGGGTTTGATTTGCTTTTCCCAGCGGAGAATCAAGTTTTCTAGGTGTAACCTTTTCAACATGTAGACAGTGACAAAGCTAGTGACTGAGGCGAGTGAGAAGTACACTTTGAGATTCATATAGTCAGGATTCACAGATGATTTCTGTTGCCTCAAAACCATTATGAACCTAAATAATGCGGTCAATTCCAGACTTTTCCCGGAATGAGACAACTTCTAACGTACCCACCTCCTCAAGTCCAACCTACCCACATTACTGATGTTTTCGATCTATTACTGCTAAGCTTAATAATTATCTCTTACAATAGTGTTGAGCAAACTTGTGCCGCGGAAGATTCCAGGTGCCCACCAGACCCGCGAGTTGACCCTTGTAAATGACGAGGTGT